TAGATTAACTGTAGCAGAAATGTGAACAAGCTGAACTTGAAAATACTACCAGAAAAAAGAAATAAAGCAGTATTCATAAAAGGATTATGAAGATTAGGAGAAAACTATAAAAACAATGCCAAGATAACTTATTAAATGGTCCACAGATAAGAAAAATCAGCAAATACATCTGGCAGAACAGAGTGGAAAGAGAATCTTGGTCACCTTGCTGATCTGGTATGTTCAAAGACAAGCTGAGAGGGGTAGACTATACCTATAACCCCGGCACTCTGTGAGGCAGAGGCAGGAAATCTGAGCCCAGCCCATGCAATTCAGTGACGCAGCAAGATCCTGCAAAATGAAAGATGAAAAGGGGTTGGGGATAATCTCAGTGAAAATACTCTGGGTTCAATTCTCAGGGCCACATACGCACAAAAAGGACAAAAGAGCCAAGATGCATGCTGTGCTCACTGCACATGAGAGCAAATCAGATGCCAAGATTTCTCTTAGTTTGTAGGTTAGGGTCTATGGATCTTGGAAAAGGAGGGAACTACTACTTCCTGCTCAAAGTCTACAGTCCACAGACATATATGGCTTATTTTGGGGAAGTGGGATGAGCTGGAGGAAGGTAAGACATGACCCAGGATTTCATGGGTGGTAAAGGGGACCACAGTCACCTTCCAGGGAGCCCCATGTGCCTGTCTCATCTTTGCCCACCAAAATCACCAGCCTTTCTCTGATTGCACACAAAGATGGCATTTAGAATGTAGAATTAGCCGGGCATGGTGGTGCACGCCTGTAATCCCAGTACTCGGGAGGCTGAGGCAGGAGGATCGCTGTGAGTTTAAGACCAGCCTGGGCTACATAGTGAGTTCCAGGTCAGTCGCAACTACAGAGTGAAACCCTGTTTCAAAAAAAAGTATGTAGAATTATAGCTCTAATCCAAACAGACATATCAACAATTTTCAATAAAAGGCTATTAGGATTTTTTAATGCAACCAGAATTCCTGTGTAAACCATTATTTGAATACTGTGTTTCCTATTAGAGCATACAGTGTTACAAATCCGTGTAAATCGCGCTGTGTTTAAGACCAGCCTGGGCTACATAGTGAGTTCCAGGTCAGTCGCAACTACAGAGTGAAACCCTGTTTCAAAAAAAAGTATGTAGAATTATAGCTCTAATCCAAACAGACATATCAACAATTTTCAATAAAAGGCTATTAGGATTTTTTAATGCAACCAGAATTCCTGTGTAAACCATTATTTGAATACTGTGTTTCCTATTAGAGCATACAGTGTTACAAATCCGTGTAACTCACAGCCCTTCACTCTGCTCCCGTAATCACAAAGCTCTAGGGAGCAAAGTATGAGGAGCGATCGAATCTCAGTCATAAATCTATGACCCCCTGCAATAAAGCTGTTAGTCAAAGCCACGGTGAGACATATTGGTTAGTAACAGCATCGTTGGCAGTGGTGCACTGAGCGTTAGTTAACTACACCAAAATTTCAAAGACTTTTTATTGCCTCTTATCTACTTGTTTGCCACAGGTAAAAAGGAGCATGTCACAAGCTTCTAGGAAGAGTTTAGAAAGGCTCATTTTCATCTCCCTCCAAAAGCTGTTGGTACCGAGGCCATTTTGTAATCATATTTGTACAACAATGCATACAATAAGGAAGGTAGTGATGAAGTGGAGACGGTACAAGTGCTGCAGTGGCTGTGTGAGGAGACAGAGATGAACAGATTTAGTGCCTGCTGCAGGGCGGGGAATGTGGAAAGGGAATGACGCCTAACATATATGCATACTGTCTAAACCCATTTAAGGAATACTCTAGATCTAAGTTTTCTTCAGAGCCAGTAGATACCGCTATTTCTTTGATTGTTACACCACATAGAGAATGGGCCATATGGAGCCTCAGGTGTTATATGGGATGTTAATGTATATAAGCAAGGAATATATATGTGTGCCTGTGCCTTTGAAGGCCAAGCTCTTGTTTATCTTCACACCTTCCACAACTTTAAGCATAGTGTGGTGGTGTTTTACACGTGGCAGGCACTCAATATTCACTAAAGCCAAACAAAGAAGTATGGTTCCAAAATTTATGTTTACTAAGGTGAAAGTATCGTTAAATATTGGAAAGAGCATGAGGCTGGGGATGGAAATTTTCAGTTTTATTCCTGGCTTGTTAAATACAACAGCTTTGAATCCTTCAGTAAGTTCTTCCCCCTCCTTGGGCATTAGATTCCTGCCCTGGAGAGTTTAGGTTGTGTGTCACTGCCCTTCTAACTCTCTAAGCCTAATTACTTTCATCTTACAAATTCCTAGTGATTTTATTTGGCATTGATGGATTAAGCACTGTTCGGCCAAAAATTCCACCCACTCTGCTCTGGGGTTCTTTAAGGCTGTCTTTGGTTTCCTACTGTTGTTATAGGTGTAAGATAAATAGCTAAGGGGACACTGGAGGGTGACAGAAAGTGGTCATTTACAACTCCGGCCACTGTCCCCTAAGTCACTTGATACGATAAAGTGGCCCCATAAAGATCATGCCCCTGTACTTATGGTAGGTTCTCGGCCTTGTGCTGTTCACTGAACAAACATTGTTTCTTTTGCTTGCAGTAACCCTAACAAGCAGGCCTCTTTGTTTTAGCTGCACAGCTGTCTAAAAACACTTCTTGAAATCAATATAACAATCACTGGTAAGAGTGGTCAGTGGGGCTTAGGGATCCAAAAGGAGTCCGGGTCTCCCTGAGGTTCTAGCTCTTAATGTCACAGGGAAGACTCTGCACATATCTGTACGTACAATTTTGCATTTATAATATTTGAGGCAAGTCCTTTCTGAAAAATGGAATTGATATCTTTCAAGGAGAAATTTTAGAAATACTTGAATGAGGGCCGGGGATTTAGCTCAGTGGTTCGGTGGCCTGCCTCGCAAGCACAAGGACCCAAGGACCCAAGTTCAATCCCCAGTACCACACACACAAAAAAATAATAATAACAAAAACAGAAATACTTGAATGGGTTCTATTTGTGCTAATTAATTTTGCTAAGAATTTTCTTTGTCCTGTTTCAGTTGGTTTTGTGGGAACTGCCTTCTTCTCATGAGTAGATAAAGATTTATGGTCCTTAGAGCATGTGGAAATTAGAAAATGGACTAATGGAATCCATTAATATCCTCTCACCAATTAGATGAATCGTAGATCAATACAGTATATTAATAGAGTCAAACTGATACATATATAAATATCCCACTGGGACAGCCTCAAGGAGACAAGACTAGTCTCAGCTAGGTTGAAAAGGATAGAAAATCATCTTACCCCACAAAGGCTTCCTCCCCACCTTGTATTTTAATGATTTTGACATTTTAAAAAAGGTTGTTTTCTATTGCTTGATGAAAACCTACTACTTTCTGATGGAAAACTAAACATCTAATAGTAGCAAAGTGAAAAGTGCTCTTGCAACAATAAAGTTTCTGATAAATTCTACAGCTGAATGTTTGTATGGTTTAGAAAAGAATTTAGATCATAAGTGTTATTTCAGTTTAGATTTCCTTTCAGTTTTAATACTCAAGTAACTAAAACAAAGAGGCTGATTAAATATGATGTATATAACAGTTACTATCCTCTCTTGAACCTCAAAGCCTAACCTCGAAGATAAAAAACAGAATTCCTGCAGAAGTACTTTGTGCTAAACTGGCATTGGACATAAAAATAAAATAATGCCTGTAAAGCTTATGGAACTAATTAAGATTTTAAAGTGGCCTCATGCCTAGGAAAATGTTAGGAGTTGTGACTCAAGAAGACTGGTGTTTCACAGGTTAAAACAAAAGAAAAAAAAATTGAGGCCATTTATTAAAGTGTCCCAGGATTGATGTTTAATGAAAATCTTTGATTGGTAGATAGTGGGATCACATTTTATCATTATCTGCGAGAATCATTAGGAAAATAGGGAATGGTATGAATTCCCTATATTCCCATTAGAAAAGAAAGAGAAGGAGGCCCGAAGTAGAGTATGGCAGTTCAGCAAGAGAAAGAAAACAGGCTGTAATTTATCTTCTGCAGAAGGACAGTGTGTTCAGCCAGACATCACATGTTTCTTTTTTAAGGATAACTCGTTACACTCTGACACATTAGATCGTGAATTTAGACTTAACGAATGCATACCTGGGCTATGGGGTACCCAGCTCCACCTGTGAGTCGGGGCTCAAATGTTCACACATCTTAAAGGAGAGAGGCTCAACTGGTGCAGCTGCTACACACCAGACAATTTCAAGGGAGATGCAGAATTGGAGGAAAGGTGGAGAAAAATCTCAACATCCTTTTCCACTTATGTTAACAGCATGCAGAAAAGCAAAGCAAAAGGGAAGCAAAAAAGTCAAAATCTGTTTCTTATTACTGTGACTCTTAAGAGGAAAAAATGAGCATATTGGGCTGACATATCACTGACTATGAATTTAATTTCCATTAGCATAGATGCTAGAAACATTCCTTCTACTGGCATTCGGGAACAAGCCACCATATTGTAAATGTTTCTTAAATTTCGGTTTGGCTTCCAAAGTCAAGCTTTATGTAATTTAATTTTAAGGTACATATTTGAAAGTTATCAAGTGAAAGACACCCAAGTTGTCAGGAAGAAAGGTTTTCCTTCCCAGTTGTCACACCATTCTATGGTAATTCCTATTAACATAATTAAGCCTTCCATGACTGCTCTGTTCCCTCGTGGTGAGAAGGAACTGACAGTATAAATCAGAAAGTACAAACACAAGTGTTTTTTTTTTCCCCCAAATGACGTACTGAGGTGGATGTATTTGAGGGAACTGATATTTGGTTTTCTCCGCAGACATCCTTTGGCTTCCACAAATTTCTAACAAGAGACATGAAGTTAAAACTGGAAGTAATTTGACCACTGTCAATGAACTGTTCTATGAGAAACTTCCACATTCTTAAACATTTAGTAAGACATAAAACGAAATGAAAAGAGAGAAGAATGCTGAGATCAGACTGTTGAGGGGGACTAAACACTAACCTTGGGGGTTAATATTAACCGGAAGCTGAGGCTCCTGATTTACAAAGTCCACTCCAGAAGGATTTTCGGCTTCAGTCCTTCAGCTGACGCCATCCCTGTGAAGGAGACCGGAGAGGGAAATTCAATTCTAGGTTCCGAATACATTAATGAACTTCCCAGGCCAAGTATTCTGGCCACATTTCTGAAAGAAATAATTTAAATAATGTTTAACATGGAAAGTGTGTATTGTAAAAGGCAGCATGTCAGTGTTTGGCACGAATCATCTCTCATTAGCCACAATTGCCCTAAGAAGCAGGCATGGGGTTATCCCTGTGCTAGTAAGGTGAGGTAAGATATGCAATGTTCTCGTGGAACACAGCTCAAAGACAGTGGAAGCAGAGATATGTGAGCAACTTTTAACCTATCTCTTGGCCCCAGAACTAGTTACACTGCTTTGTAGGACTGCACCGTGAATTCTGTAGCCCCTAGCCACAGTCACTGCAGTGTGAATCAGTACACATTAAATCAATTCAAACATCCATTTCCTCAGTCACGACAGCCACACTTCAAGTGTGCAGTAGTTCTGTCTGCCATAGCAGAGAGAGCATCACTGCTGGGTCCGAGGGGATGGCATTGCCAGCTGTGCCTGCAGGATGCTGTCAGTCTTCTCTCCCCTCCCCAAAACACCAGAAACCAGAAGTGAGGCTACAGAGACTCTGTGGGCTGGGATGGACCTTTTGTTCTTGCTCCCCAGGAAAGAGCTACCATCCTCTCATCTGGAGTAAACTGCTTCTCCCCACTTCTCAACAAAGCTGTGTGAATAATAAAACCTGATCAGGAATGAGAAGTCAATATCAAATAGAAACGTGGAGGGTACTCGGCAAGAATAAATGTGGACTTTTCACCAAACCGTCTGTAAGACCTTTGACAGCAGAGAAAGAAAAGCAAGTAAGATTATTATGAAGTATATTTCATGGTGCTGATGTTACTTGGGCATCACTTGAAGCACTGATGAAATTTCACTGGGGGACAGTGCTATGTGCAGCTCTGCACAGAATGCTATGGGGCAACGTTCTAAGAACACACACCAGAGAACACTCAAAATGAGTCAGTGCTAAATCAGGACAAAGAATTAGCCAGCCCTGGTCTAGGTCCTACTACAGTCAAGAAGATGTTCAGGGGGAAAAAAGATGTTAAGGAATACCTAGAGGTAAATGGGATCCAGAAGGGAGCAGAAGAAGTCACTGCCAATAATCTTCTCACAACGGAGAGCTCATGCGATATTAGGGAACAGCATAAATTTCCAATTGTTAAATTACAAATTAAACTGTTAGGTAGTACAGCAAAACTCAAGTTTGAAATATGGTAAAGAAATGGATTCAGGAAGAACTTTAATTGTGGTTTTTGATAGTAGGACAAAAAAAGTTTCCATGAAGAGTGAAAAAACTAAGATAATGATTTCAGCCGATTTAGGAAAATACATGAAAAATGATCAGTTCTTTGTGTAGCACAAAGGGCTTATTTGTAGTCTTTACTCCTAAAACAAGGATGTTCTTCCTTCTGAAATAATATACTATGTCAGTTCTTTACACTGTCCATGAATAATAGCACGATTTCATTGTGCATCTAAGGGAAATTTTTAAAGATTTAGATTCTTAGTTTTCTTATGGAAAGAGATCTTGGAAAGCCCTGTAGTTCATCTTCGAAGTGCAGTCATAAAGGTCCAGCATTATGAATCACTCAAGCAAAGTCCCTCAGCCTGTTGGTTCAGTTCAGTTGGAACTGAAATTTTGCTGCCAGGTGAAGAGTCCCAGCCAACGAAACAGCGATGGCAGCAATTGTACTGTGTGTCCTGGGACCCAAGAAGACTGTGTGACGGTGTGCTCCAAGGCTGCTGCAACTCTAACATGTTCATAATTCTCTTCTTAAAGTACAATGTTGTTTTTTATTTTATAGTAAAATTTTAATAATATCAAAAATAAAAATGTGTTTCATGTCTTCCAAAAGCCGCCATCCAAGGAAAATTACAATGTCCATCATAAAATATTTTTCTATAGGAAACATCGATGTTACATATTGAAAGTGCCCTGTAAAGGAACACATAGCAAATGTCATTTCAGGAATAACCTTTGTGTTCTATAGGTCAGGAACAGCACTTAGAGCTTGAGGACTATTCATGGGATTGAACTGAATTCTGAATTTTACAAATGAGGAAAAAGGAAGGTCCAACCTGTTCAGGGAACTGTCCCTTGTCAGCTCCCCCATGCCTTCTGAATAGGGGTAATTTCTATCCAAAAGGTGGGAATTGGTTCATTAGCAGTGAACAAGATTTTAGTCTTATTACATATAAAGCATACCTATTTGTAGAGGTGCATTAAGAGATATACAGTACAGTAGAGCTGACTTTTAAATTTCATGGTGGGAGTGGCAGTCAAGAAAAAAGTGTATAAAGGGTCCTGAGAGCTGGGGATTTAGCTCAGGGGTTCGGTGGCCTGCCTTGCAAGTGCAAGGACCCGAGTTCAATCAATTTAGCTCAGGGGTTCGGTGGCCTGCCTTGCAAGTGCAAGGACCCGAGTTCAATCCCTGGCACCAAAAAAAAACCAAACAAAAAAACAAAAACAAAAACAAAAACAAAACAAACAAAAAACAAGGGTCCTGAGAGGATCCTAATAAAACCATTGAGTAGCTGGCCTAAGTGTACAGAAATTCCTCAAAGTAAATAAAGTAGAAAACATATAATCAGAGGAGAGTTAGCACATTTTTAGACTGATCCTACTTGAGACTCAAAATGTTTTTAGTTCCACAAATAATTCTTTGACTTTCTGCAGTTATTAAAATAGGCTTATTTTGTTCTTATTTTGTTCATCATGCATTTGAGAGCTACACGGTCATATTCTATTTAAAGCCACCCTCTCTTCATACATGTTCCTTCCATGGGAAACTCCCCCACTTCTTTTAGGGGACCCCAATTTTCCTGTGATCTCCCCAGCATCTCTGGCCTCCTGTTTGCCTCTGCTCCATGAGTGGTGACTCCCACTTAGGGTGTGGAGTTTCTATGGAGTTCCTCTTCTGTATTTCTTGGAAATTTCATCATCTCTCTCCAGGAAGTGCAGGTATGCAAGTGAATGGCTAAACAGACCAGTGGAGGACGCTATTATAACCTCCCTAAATCTTGAGGCCACCCTCATTCAGCTTCAACAAGAGAATACTCCTTTTTTGGCTTCCACAAATGAGTTAGAAAAGGTATGAGATTTTCCTTTACCATCACTGAACTTCCATTATATAAAGTATCTCCTGCCAGTCCTGTCCTTCCTAATCAACCTTATTTTCCCTCACTCCATTCTAAACTGGGCTGGCTTCTCCCAGCTGTCCTGTAGAGAGATAGTGGACATCCATAAATGACAACTCTCTAAACTTTCCATGTCTAGCACTTACTTAATTCTCAGTAATTTCTTTATTCTCAGCTGTGGGCCTGATTTGCTAAACCAAGGGCTGGGCATTTAGCATCATGCTAATAAACCAGCTGCCACTTAGCATGGGTTCTGTGCTAAGACACATTTTCTCATTTATTTCTCATAGCCAACCAGTAAGATAAACATTATTTTCCTCTTTGACAAGCAAAGACAGTGAGCCTTCAAAGTTAAACAACTGATTTTAGGCATTGTAGTAGTCTCTTTCCCATCACAGTACCTAACATCTACTACTTAAAGGAGGAGAGGTTATTTTGATTTATGGTTTTTAGAGGATTCAGTTCATGGTTAGTTGACACCAAGGAAGTAACATCATGGCAGAAGGACATAGCAATGTCCTTGGCATCCAAGAAGAAGAGAGGAGCTAGGACAAGAATATACCTCTGAGTCATTCCATGAGTGCCCCGTCTCCAGCCAGGTCCCATGTCCCAAGAGCACAGTCAGCTACTGAACTCAACAAGGGCTGAATGCACTGATGAGGATAGCACCCCCACAATCTGGTCACCTTCCAAACAAAACAGACTCTGGGAACAGAACAAACGAGTAGCGGAGATACTATGGAAGCAAGATTAACTAGTAAGATTCTCGTGCCCAGCTCTTTAAGCCAATGATTTCTTAAGTGAAAATGAATTAAAATTAACTCAGTTTGAGGCATGATTTGTAGACATCATTTGAGAGACCTACCTAATGGCCAGTATGAAAAATGTCTAAAAGTGGGACTCAAGAAAATATCAATACTTTATGCCATAATTTTTGCTTGTTTACTTGGGTATACGAGATCTTATTATTTCAACCTGAACTGAGAATTATTTTATTTAGAAGACTGAATCATAGAAAATAGTATGATAGCCCTCAGACATTTTGGGGAAGACTCAAAGAACTAAGTATATTTACCTTGCTACTGGCTTTTCTCAGCAAGTATTACATAAAGAAACAGAAAGAACATAAGAGGCCTTGCTTAAGTAATATTTGGGCCACCATAAGTGAATCAGAGTACTACATAATTCCTTGATAGATGAACAATTTTTTTATAAAATGGGCCAAGAATTCTGGACCCTTGTGCCATCTCTGATTTATTTCTGTCACCAAGGCCTGAATCACAGCTGCGTGACTTCAAAGAATTAATGAAAAACAGAGACTAGAAAGAAGAAAAGTTACGATATTTTATTTAAAAGTTGGTTGCTTTGTTTCTTACCTTCAAATTCTTGTAATCTTATCTGTATGCCTAGAGTTTCTAAAGTTTATTATTAATATCACAGATGTCTTTATGACAAACATTGCCTACCTTACCTATTGTCCATATACACGTTTCTTAGGGACACACTTTTAGTTCTATTTATCCTCACAGATCATCTAAACACTGACTTATTGATACTAGAGATCTAAGCCTATGAACTTCTGAATAGGACTATCATAAATTACTAGTAACTTCCTGAAAGGATTACTAAAATCTCACTTCAATCTTTCTGTTACATCTCTTAACAATGGCATTTGGTGCCATTTGCCACAAGAACCTCTCATTTCTTATGCAGAGATTTCAAGGTTCTCTAAGATTCCCTCAGATTATTGGCACTAAAACTTGCATGAGACCAATCAAAGCATGTTGAGGTTTTAGTTATCAGGACCATGTCCTTCCTCTGAG